ACAGAAAGATGTTTTTCTGGAAATAAAAAGAATGTGACAAGTATGTTTTTCTGTCAAGAATGACACTGCAAAACTGCGAAAGCTTGTCAGGTGAGACTTGTAATTAATTCTGCAGATACACAAACATATAGAAAGTGTCATTTTTTGTTTACATTAATTAATTTCTATAGTGTGTACAAAACAAATCAAGACCACAGACTCAACACGCACCACTCAATTTTTGGTGTTCTTTATCAGTTGGCCAAGACAGAAATGTTTTAATCTGTGTGCATTGCTTTTGAGCAAGTCTTTACACAGAAAAGGTTTCAGAAAGGTATTTTTCAGGTTCTTCTGACAAGGCTTCAATTTTGGAAAATGCTGTTTGTTTATAGTGGCAACTTATAAACCCTTTGTGATAAGAACATAGTTACCACAGTCCAAGTCATACCTTCAAAAAGTATGCACTTTGTGCTCTTGTGGACCCATCCAAAATTTTTCCAGTGATTTGGCTTGGTATTGGATAAATGTGAGGGAAATTCTATAAAAATAACATAAATACACCTATGTTTTCAAATACATTACAAAAAACGTAAACATGCTATGTCATTATGATCAAACAAGCTTTTCAACATACCTCACACTGCAAATAGATTAGGCCATCTATTACCTTATAAAACAAATAAATAAATACATATAAATAAAAACAGAACTAAGGAATACGATTCATTAAGTAAATTGTACAATAAAGTGTATTTAAAGCAGAATTTAACATTAGTTTTATGACAACATAAAAGGATTTTTATGTCAAGAGGTACCTCATCTGAAATGTTTGTCTGGTCAAACAGGGATTTCAAACTTGAAATACCAATAGAGTTTGGTCCAGCTACTCCCACAAGGTAATCTGTGAGAAAGCATATGCTGTAGTCAACAGATATCATTTTCTTTTTGCATGCTGCAACCATCATCCATTTCAGTCTTCTAGGAGCTTTGTCTGGTTGTAGTTCTTTTTTCTCCTCCTCTCCCCTCATCTATTAATTAAATTGTTTTCTGACCTTCCTAACTGTTTCCGACCTGTCTTCCCAATGTGATGTTTAAGCAATATATGTATGGTCAGAAGGGGGTGAAATTTTCATTGCAGTTGTACGTGTAACATTGCATGTGATAATAAAAGGCTTGATTGGTTGATTATTCAACATGAGTTGACATTTACCTGACATTGTGAAGGAGTCACAGTTTCTGTAAGGGTGTAAGAACATAACATGTGGATTTGTTACACTTCTTTTTCACAAGTTAATAACAATCAATAATTTTCATTCCATTATTAACTCATTCACTGCCATTGACGTCTATAGCCGTCAATGGCAGTGAATGAGTCAGTGGGTTTAACTCATTCACTGCCAATGGCTGGCAGTGAATGAGTTAACAAGCTATCACACGATGTCCCAGGGACAACATCTACACGGTGTCCCAGGGACAACATTTACACGATGTCCCAGGGACAACATTTACACGATGTCCCAGGGACAACATTTACACGATGTCCCTGGGACAACATTTACATGATGTCCCAGGGACAACATCTACACGATGTCCCAGGACAAATTTGTAAATTTCTGGATTACTGTTAATCTCCATAGAATCAAGAACTCATGTCCAGTTTCACAGCTATGGACCAGTTAATTATGTTTCCAGGTGATAGTTTGATTCATAGATTCAGCACACAACCATAAGTCTAGGCCTTTTAGTCCAGATTCTCTTCACTTATGTTTGTAAAATGATCAGGGAAGCTACTGCAATTTTGCCTGACCCAACCCCCGGGCCACGAAACACCCAAAAAGTTGGGGAACGCTGGTCTAGAGAACACTGGTTAGCTAATGCAGAATCAGAATCAGAATACTTTATTGATCCCTGGGGGAAATTATTTTTTGTTACAGTGCTCCATTTTAAACCAACATTAAGACAAGACAGACAATACACTAACTAAGAATAGTACAATATATACATATATACACATACATACATACATAAGTCACTCATAAATAAATAGTTGGAAAAGAAACATGTGTAGTTGTAGCAGCAAACAGTGTGTTAAGTGGATGCGTTGTACAGGGAGATGGCCACAGGCAGGAAAGATTTCCTGTGTCGTTCAGTGGTGCTTTTCGGTAATCTCAGTCTCTCACTGAACGTGCTCCTGTGACTGACCAGCATGTCATGGAGTGGGTGGGAGGTGTTATCCAACATTGTCTTTATCTTGGACAGCATCCGCCTCTCCGACACCACCTTGAGGGTGTCCAGCTCCATCCCCACAACATTGCTGGCCTTACGGATTAGTTTATTAAGTCTGTTGGCATCTGCGACCCTAATGCTGTCGTCAAGTAGCCTATCACTAGCAAACAAACAGCAAGCCAAGTGAGGAACATATGTATAATGCTTACCGTTTATTAAAGAAAAGTATCCTAAATTGACTTCAAATTCGGCGGACAGGCGGCGGTTTCTCGCTTCTTCACTTGTATTTCGAAATACTCGAAGGCGGGTATTTCGAAGTCGCAAAGGAATGACGTCACAAGAAGGTGATTGGTCACTTGCAATGTTGAACCTGGAACAACATTAATTATGATGATGTGGGAACAATGCTGACACGAGGAAATCAGATCGTCCATGTTGTCTGTGTAGTTTATATAATAACTAGTTTATATATTATATATATACTATATATATATATCACAGAAGAGTGAGATATATACAATATATATACGTCTCGATCAGCTGTTCATAACACTGTGTCCGCTATTGAATGGAGCTTGAGGGCAGTGTTGCCAACTCCTCAGTAAGGAAAATCGCTATTGGTTGTCCTAAAAGTCGCTAGAAGTCGCTAAATGACGTCATCGCCTAATTTGCATAATTGGTCATGCTAATCTAATTGTAACCTATGTTGTTGGAGAGAGAAATAACATCGTGGAAGAGACATAAAGTGAGTAAAAAACGTCCTAAATGCATTTAGAGTTTATTTAGAACTACAAATTAAATTTCTTTTAGCAATTATTGTTTTTTTTAATGTCACAATTCCAACCCTGCTCCTTTACCCGGGCTTGGACCGGCAAAAGTGACCCGAAATAGGCACTCTGGTGGAGTTACTTTGTGTGTGTGTTTATAAGTAGTTTTAAACCTTGTGATCCACAAAACAGCATAAGAGTAAAAGAGTAAAAGAACTGACTGCGTTACAGCACCCGCTGCTTGTTGAGAGTAAAAGCGATACGCGCTTTCACGTCTTTTTTAGCGACTTTTTTTAAAAAAAGTCGCTAAGGGGTCTGAAAACTCGCTAAATATAGCGACAAAGTCGCTAAGTTGGCAACACTGCTTGAGGGTCCTGCGCAGTATCTTAGCTGTTCCCAGGACTGCGCTCTTCTGGACAGAGATCTCCGATGTTGTTCTCGGGATCTGCTGGAGCCACTCGCCTAGCTTGGGAGTCACCGCACCTAGTGCTACGATTACCACGGGGACCATATTATATGTCGTGAATATAATTTTAGACTCTTCCCTTTATATTATGATATATATATATATATATATATAAAACCAGTGAACATGATGGAAGACTAGAGAAATCACAGAGAGAGCTGGGGCACACTAACAGAGGTAAGTACAATTAGCAACTGAGTAATCACAGGAAATGAACAGCTGGTGACTGCTGACAAGCTGGTGTGAAGATCAGGGTTGGGACAAGGAGTCAGGTGTCACTCAAACAAACATTCGTAAATCTTTGTTTGGTGTCTTTCTCCCTTTTTTTTGTAATAACTCTTGAGCCAGGGTGTGACATTCATTCAATGTCAGCATGGCTGCCTTCCAGACTGGGCAGAGAAGTCAATGCATTGTCTTTCCATTAAAAAATTACTGTTTTTAATTAAGCAGATTTGAAACAGTTTCTTGAGCTAAGTAAGAACTTGCCAACTCCCTCTCCAATCAGTGTACCATATTTAATTTTGAAAAGTTAATGAAGTACAATCAACTAATCTAGAGGTGCCTGTATAACTATTCCAAGTCTGAGGTCTCCCAGTTCTTCAGAGCCAGAGGTGGAGATCTGTGACTCTCTGAATGAATGCCAACATAAGAAAGAAATCAGCACTCTGGACTCTCCATGTTATCTTATCAGCAAATTATGCTGTGGCAATGTTGTGAAAGATTGTGGAGGCTCGGAGCACACACATGTCAATAAAAAGAGGTGTACGGGACATTCACTCTATTGGTCTTGCTGCAAACATCCAGGTAATACAACACTTACCTTTCTACTATTAAAATGGTTCTAAATGTAATGCAGGTTCAGTAAAAATCTGTTTTGTGAATTTCTTTTTGTAGTATTCTGTCTTGAGAATTTATTTGCATATATTATCAGACTGTTTCTATGCTTTGTTGTTTACAATGGGAAGCTACAATGGGAGTGATTATTTATTATTTCAGATTAACGGTAAACAGAGGTGTGGCCAAGGAGGATTTGGAGTAAATTATTTCAGTAATTCATATTAACATATACAATTACTAAGGGTTGCAAGATGCAATGTAATCTTGTAATGTAAATTACACAGGTAAAAGTCTAACATTGCTCCTAATGTGGCTATGATAATTGCTATTATGAGTGTTTATTTATTAGCATTTATAGTGTGGATGTGTTCAGTGGATGAATGGCTTTTAAACTAGGGCTGCTCAATTAATCGAATTGTAATCACGATTACGATCTGGGCTTTCAACGATCATTAAAAATGACTGAGCCGATTATTAACCCCTCCCTCGTGCTTTACTCTCGCGCTGCTCCATGTGGCAAATCGAGCGCACCTCTCTGCATTTCGAACACGTGTCACAACAATTAAGAGGACTCGAGGGAAGCTCGGAAAGCTAAGCAGAAGTTATTTGGAGGAGAGTGACTGCCGTTGGTTGAAAAGAGAAGTAAAAAAAAACTTCAGTGGTGTGGAAACATTATGGATTCGCGGAGTCAGACGTGGATCAAGTAGACATAGTGTGTAAACTTTGCTACGGTGTCGTAACTGCACCACAGAGCAACACTGCAAAGTTCACGAAACATAGATGTTTACATTTTTCATTTATTTTTTTATATTGCAAACATTTGCATTGTTATCAGTATTTGCACACTATTTTATATTATTTTTTAAAGTCATTATTATAGAACCGCGTAAGCTAGCGCAAGAATTTGTTTTGCATATGAAACCAGAGGAGTTGAACTTACATCTTATGCCATCAGCTTGTCCTAGGTCACAGTTTCCTTCCACATAAAGCTTTGCAGAAATTGCATAAAAAGCACTTGCAGCAACAAAAACATAATATTCCAGAAAGACGCTTTGCCGATCCGATCAGCTGTTCGTAACACTTCCCACATTGAACAAGACGTCAACGCGAACTGTCGCATGTCCGCCATTTCCTGTCCAAAACCGGAAGTGACGTCATTTTTCGCGGAAAATGTAGTTTTTTACTTGTAGGCCTTAAAAGCCTATACTGGTGTTTTTATAAGTCATGTTTGACTCTATACTTTTCTGAATAGTTTCTGGAATGCTTGGAACTCGAATTGCACTGCTGGAAATAGTTTATTTTGATGCACATGCTGTTTTCTTTGCAAATTTGCATCATTGCTGTATCTCCAAAATAAAACTATGAAGACACTCAAAATAAATTTCCTGTGGTGGGAAACTATTTTGTACAACTTTTTTGTATTTAAAGTTTTGAGGGATAAACCTCTTAAATTTCCCCAAGTAGAAATATATATGTAAAAAACAAAACAAAAACGATTGTCAGTTTTGTTGTAGTTTATTGCACTTTTTTGCAATTAATGTAATTACTATGGACTTAATGCATACAGATTATTAAAATATGGGCTATAACAGTTGTATTGATGTATAGCAACTTGAAATGCTCCCACAATTGGCACTACAACATGTAAAAAAATATATATATATAAGCTCTGGCGGACTTGGTTCTATGGTAGGTCTTAAAGGGTTAAATAAATATCGTCAAATAATCGAGATCTCAATTTCAGTGAAAATAATCGTGATTATCATTTTTGCCATAATCGAGCAGCCCTATTTTAAACAGTACATTTACATAATGACTGAAGCTTCAGTCATTATGTAAATGTGAAAATGCTACATCCAGATGAACAGAATCAACTTTTTGGGAATCTTCTTGCCTGGAAGGCTGAGGATGTGTGAAGACTTTTTGGTGAATATGCTATAAGATCAGGTCAGCAATATGAGAATTCTTTGGCAGGATTGTTGAATGATTTTCTTACCAGTTACATTTTTTTTCAGGTCTATGATTTCTTCCTCATAGTACTTTTTGCTGACTTAATCTTATGAGTTTTGTCTGTGCCATAGCTAAATATTCTATTTCAAGTAGAGTTGGTTTCATTGGTGACATGAAGTCCTTCATGAGATGTGTGAGAGAGAAATTCTATTTCTCCAGACTATTCCCATATTGAACAACTGTAAAACCATCCAAATACTATTTTCAGTGTCCATCATTCACAATAATAAATTTGTTGATTGGATCAACATTTTCTTCTGTGCTGCTTGTGTTGAGTGTAACGCATTTTACTGCATTTCTTCATTTCAGAGTCACATTCAAACAGGTTTTTGAATTGCTCTTTGTCTGGGCTTGCACCCAGCATCAATTTGCCATGCGAGACCCTACCATGGGGCAAAACGCCCCCCAACAATATAGGCCCTGGGATCCCTGGGACACATAAACCTCTCCACCATGATAAGGTAGCAATTCACAGATTTTACATCCCTATTTTTTTTTTATATCTGTCTTATTTAGAACTAGTATGGAGGGGATCAGTGACCGTCTGTTCAGGCATAAGAACTTCAACTTTGTGACCAGTCTTACAACTCCAGAGTACCTAGACTCCCTTGAAAGCTTTGAAATAAAAGACAGCGATGTCTTCCTTGTGACTTATCCAAAGTCAGGTTGGTGAAAAATTTCACACATTGTTGGTATTTGCTGTTTTGTGCTGGCCAGACTGATCCACTGATCACCTCTAATGTCCTTCCCCACATCAGGTACTGTATGGGCTCAGCAGATCATCATTTCCATCCACGAAATGCATAGCTATCAGACTGAATATTCAATCAACATTGAGAGGATGCCGTGGCTGGAGTACAAGACAGCTGAATACGCTCTTCTTCCCTCTCCACGGCTCTTCGCCTCGCATCTCCCTGTACACATCATGCCTCCAGGAGTGAAGGAGAAGAAGCCAAAAGTCAGTACTTTATAGAAATTGAAATCTTATTGAAGAAAGAGACAGTCTTGAAGTTTGAGAAAGTTAAAAGCATTTGATTACTTATTGTTGCAAAAATAAAGCAAATTAAATTTGTACTTGTGAAGATTAATTTTATTTTTTGTGATGTTACCTATTGGTCACTGAAGTTCAGTTTTTGAGGCTTGCACTTTGACTACTGGTAGCTTTTAGAAACCAGGAAATCCTAGCAAATGAAAATAGAGTGGTTGATCTTCAAAACAAATGTTGTTTTATGTTCTGTAAGAATTAAAACAATGATCCTCTGGGGTCATAAATCAAGGAATATGAGGGTCATTTTTATCATACACTTCTACACAAACACATGGTCCCAGGTCCAAAAAGCTAGCACTAGCATTTGTTTTATTTTTAATGATTCTGTTTGATTTCAGATAGAGGAGATAGATAGAGGAAGAGAATCTAGCTGTCATGGTTCTGGGTCGGTGACCCAGCGCTTTGAGTTTATTATTATTATTTTTTCTAGTTTATTCTGATTTTGTATTAGTTCTTTGGGTTTGGTTGTCATGTTTATTATCCCAACCTGTGTCTCCCTCTGTGCTCTGCTCGGGTCCCCGAGTTTTGTGTTGTAAAGCAGTCTGTGTGTTTCCTGTTCTACTTTGTACGTCTGTGTCTCGTTATGCCCATTAGTTCCAGCTGTGTCCCCTCCTGTGTGCCATTTCCTGATTACCTGGTGTGTGTATTTATAGTATGTGTCTGCCTGTGCTCCTCGTCGCGTCCTCTGTGTTTCTCTGTGAAGCTTCTGCGTTACTCTGCATTCTTTTGGTGTTTTTTCCGCGTCTCTCTTCCCCTCGCCTCATGTCCTCCCTTTGTGTTAGTTTTCCCAGTTTAGGTTTATGTTCTGTTCTGCCCTCACCTTGGTTTTCTCTCTGTAAATAAATCTCCACTTGCATCTCCACTTCCATCTGCATCTTGGGTCCTCATTCATTCCACCACACAACTGCTGCCCCAGCCGTGACACTAGCATCCCAAGTGCCAACTTGCTTGAGCAACGTAGCGGACCGTATGTCGGGTGGCAAGAAAACTGCTAGAAGGTTGTCAGCATTCGGCTTCACGGAAGCTCAAATACAGACTTTAAAATAAATTTTTAAAAATATTATCTGAAATCAAATTGTAACATTAAATTTTAAATTGCTTTTCTTTTAAACTAATGACATTAAATAGTGAATTATTAATTTTTTTTAAAAAATGTTTATTAAGATTTAAGATTTCAATTTAGGGGTTTTTTTGTGAATTATTACATTTAAGTGACAGACTTTTAATATTCAAATTTTTTTTAAAATATATTTCAGATCGTGTATGTGATGAGGAATCCAAAGGACAACATGGTGTCTTTTTATCACTTCAGCAGTGCTCTAGCAGACCTGGAGACTCCCGAGAGTTTTGACCAGTTTTTTGAGTGGTACATAACAGGAAACGGTAAGTTTCCTCACCTTTAATCCCCATAATGGTATATCAATTACTGATTACTATAAAGTAATATTTTAACTTGTATGTATGTATGTATGTATGTATGTACTATATATATATATATATAATCCCGTCCACATATAAAGG